TGAAGCGGGGATGTGAGGGGTGCTGTCCGGGGACGGGGGAGGAGGACTCGCTGTGAGACTCGGGCAGGGGGCTCAGGCACCCCCCCACTGGGATGGGGGGCAGGTTCTCCCCCGCCGACAGGTCCTGGTGCAGGAAGTCGTAGTCCGGGTCGTAACTCTCTGTGTTGTCTGTGCAGGAGAGAAGAGGCGCCATTTAATCATCGTTTATTCAGATTTAACCCTCACCGAACAGGTGGGGGGGGGGAAATAATAACGGCACATTAACAAAGGTTTGTCAAGGGTTGGGTTCTTAGAGTTTTGGATCTGGTTCTCTGTTGGCAGAATACCCTGATTTGATAAGCTCTGTTTATGAAGAATCTCCTATGGAACAGGGGAGAAAATATGAAGTAAACATAACCAGCAGGGAATACTGCGTTCAAAATGACGCGTCGTCACTGAGTTTCTGTTCAATTTATAGTCTGGTCCATTTTCTCTTTGGAAGCTGGTGTTAAAAAGTGTGTTTAATTTGAGAATATAATAAAAATCACTTGTGATGCCGCTGTGAGTGACGACTCAGGAGGAATCATCAGCTGATTGTGACTAATGCAGGACAGTCTCCTAATTTAATTTACAAGCATATCATAGCAATATGTCTAAGTATCAACTAAATAGCAATGTGTTAGGAGTTTTATCAAAATAAAGTGTAAATGTAAGCATGATACACCTTTTTATGTAGAAGCAGGTCACTGAACATTAGTACTTTTTTAAACTTTAAAATCTATTTACAACTCTTGAGTTATAAACACCAAGTCAGTGGTACCAAAAGGATATATGGAATAAAGCAAAGCTTAATCCCTGCCTACTTATAACCTAGAAACTGCTTTTAAGAATAATATTTCATAATATAAAGAAAAACAATCAACCATGGTGGCAGCTGATCGAAAATAAAACCGCAGCGAACATCCCCATTCGGCTCGCAGCTGCTCATTTCAGGTCACATGCCACCATGCCAGATTTTGAGAACCTTAAATTAGGCTATACATATTGTGAGTTTCTTAGCCAACAAAGCAAATTACAGATCTAATATCCAATATTTAGTGTAGTCATTCATAAAGGTTCACAGCGGTGAAAGATGCACCTAGTTGAGTTGAATTGATTGGGATCAGATCAGCGTGTTTGATGCTAGATTCAGATTTGTCATGGAACCCTGACTGGCTTTGTCTCCGTAGCCTTACCAAGCGTCTCACAGCTGGTGTTACGAGAACACTGACCACTGTCCTGCTCCATGGAGGAGAGTTGCTCGTCCGACTTGCTGAGCTTCCCCATGCTGCTGCAGGGCGAGAGGCGTGGAGAGTCCCCGCCGTACGACTGGCTCCCCCCGGAGAACCGTCTCTGCAGGAACTCCTGCTCATAGTCCTGCTGCTGCACACACAAACATTTAGCGTTTTATTTGATCAAAAAAACATTTAGCCCTTTATTTTATACAGGTACTGGAGGTACCCTATTACCCAGTGTTCCCCCACCACTGGTCCGTGGGTCATTAGGTCAGAAAGATTGATAATCAATACAATATGTTTTTATACAGTCTGAAATATGTTATATGTTGTAAAATCAACGCAGAATATCCAGAGAAAACTAAATGACGGAGGAGACTGGACATAAGGAAACTACTTCAGGTGTCATTGTCTCCCCTTATATTGGAGCGGCTTGTTGCAGAGACACAAGCTTAGTTCTCCCACTAATTCTGTGTAATGGTGAGTTGTATTTCTCATGAATCTTGTATTTGTTGTTATGCCGGTCGTATCATTTGACTTCGTCTTATTTACCTTCACACCTTGAAGGCCGGTCGGTGAAAATATTGTCTACATGAAACCGGTCTGTGCTGCAAAAAAGGTTTGGGACAGCTGCTATAAAGGACCCTGATCCCTCACCTGTCTGTGGACGCTGCAGGGTAAACTGGAGCCGCGACTCATCGGGGCCACGACTGCAACCCGCGTGGGTGAGGGGGCCGACTGCCGCTTCTTAGGGGGGAGAGCTGGGGGAGGGCTAATAACAGAAGAGAAACAGCAGAATAAAATAACACATATGTTCAAGAGGCGAATTCAATACAGACAATCAGGCATGCACGCAAAACACGCTCTGTCAGGCATGTATGCACACACAGATCCATGTATGAATACATGAACACACACATTGTCATCCTTCCAGTGGAGCAGTGAGATGAGAGTGAGGGTGTTTCATGTTAGCCTCTCTCAGATATGAAATGGAGCCATCCTGCTTTCCAAACGTGAAATCAGAGAGTTAATACGGGGAACACAAGGCACCATGATATGGAGGCCAGCAGAAACACATCGGGTCAGTCACACACTCTCATGCACCGCCCGCAATTCTGATTGGATGCTGAGTTCTTCAGGGAAAGTCCGGGATAACACAACGTTTGGGATGATGCAACCATGCAAGTCAAAAACATCCAATCCAGAAGCTTAATGCGGGTCTAGGGTGGGATGTTATGGTGGAGACAGGTGGTCTTGAGAGCTAACATACTTCTCCTTCTGAGAGGATCTCCTTTGGCCCGCGCCAGCACTCAACTGTGCTCTGTTCCCAGAATCCAAAGGGAAACCAAAGAAGGAACAAATTGAGAGAGATGGCAGAAAGAGTAAGGAAGAAAAGGACAGAGCAAACCATAAAGTGTGCTATTTTTAAAATGTCAAGTGTGGGAATTATGAAAGATTTTCAGGAGTCTGAAAGTCATGGCAATACACAGAAAATATATTTTGGAAAATGAAAGACATTTATGGAACTCCCTCTACCCACAATCTAAAAACATTGTTCCCTTTTGCTATTTGTAGACATTTTTCAGAGAATTCGATCATCTCCAGAATAGACACTTCTGCTTTAGTGCAAAGGGTCACAACATTTCTGTGGTCACGCCATTATCAGGATTAAAGCGAATATTCTCACATGACGGCTAGCTTGATATTATGGTACAGATGTGAGAAATAAAGCCTGATTTGATAAATACTGGAAGGATCACGTAAGAAATAACAGACTCACAAAATGCTGTTAATAATGAATCCTTTAATTATGCAAAAAGACCTACATATGACTTGTGAGTTTTTATTTTAAGATTGCTTGACTGTTTCCAATTCAAAAGTAAGTGTTATGAATAATACAATGTGTCCTTTCCGTGATAATATTGTTGGTTCTTAGCAAATGTAAGGCAAATTGATTCCAGCTTGTTTTTGTATAATTTTTGTTCCAGTTTTAACCACATTTCTATGATTGTTGGGATAATGCTGTGGATTACAATAATTGTGTCCAGGATGCTTGTTGAAAAACGTAAACCTTGAATACCTTGAACTGAGAAAAATATTCATACTCAGTCTTGGCAAAAATGTGAACCTTTAAGACGTCACTAATGCTACATGAGGTCCTACTTCCTCAGCACTGTTTGACTAAAGAGGAAGCTTTAGTGAGATTTGTTGTACCACAGTTTTACGGAAATTAATCGATGGATCAGATTGTAATATCAAAGTGTGTGTCGTCCTCACCTGAGCTCTGCCATTTTGGCCTCAGGCAGGGGGGGTTTGGGAGGGGCCACCTCCTCCTCTGGTATTTCAGAAGCCTCCTCTGCAGGGGGGGCAGCCGGAGCCGTCTGAGGGGAGACCTCCTGCTCCAGACCTATGGAGGGCAGCTCCGACGACACGCTGCTGCACACAGAAAGCATTCTGAGTCAGGAGAATACTGCAAGTGTGTGGTTGAGTTCTAATTTGTATTTCAACCATGGTAATAAAGAATATATGATTCACTGCTGTCTACGTTCATAAAGCCCACATAGAACAACACCATAAGAACGCTCAGTACAAAGTATCTATGTGCGCTGTAGTAGTCCTCTGTACAGAGAACTGTAGTTTCACAGCAGACGCACATTAATAATATCCGCTGGAGCATCATAAACACGTCAGATAGTGTCAGTGCAGTCGGATTCTCTTGAAGCCTGGTCGTCTTTTCCTAAGTCCTTTTGAATTCTCCTAGCCACTATTCCTCAACCCTGTTCACACAGAGGTCAAGGAATAGTGTTTAGGAAAAGACAATAGGAGCTGATTTTTTGACAATTCGACCGCAATCTGTGTTTTTATTCTGCAGGGCATGCTGGGCACTCACCTCTCTGCTGGGGGAGCGGGTGGGGCTGGTTTGTTAGGGGTGGTGGGCGACGGCTGCTCCTGTTTCTCTATGGTCAGCTTTACCAATTCCTGTTTGAAGAAAAAGCCAGCATCAGTTGCTGCTAATGCAAAAACATCACAGGAGGGTTTTTACAACAGTAGCCAGATTTTTATTTCAATGTTTTGCTAATTTTAAAAACACATTTCAACACAATCAGTGCGGTACATAATCCGTACGAATGCTTGTTTGAAGAAAGGAGATCCAATTGTTGGAATAAATTACATAATTATAATAGAGCCAGGCAACAAAAACTATGTAGAAAACTGGATTGAATGATGGCATTTGTGTTGGTTTCATGTATGAATGTGAGGAAGTTTACATCATATCTGTGTAGGGCTATTTCTCAGTTTCTTCAGAAAGAAGAAGACCAGTATGTACACAAGCTTAATGTACGTCATTATGTATTTGCTAAATCTGTTTCCATTGCACTTTCGTAGCCCCGCCGCTTCTTGTATCAATACACCATCTTTTCAATTTCTGCCAAGTTCTAATGCGTTTTTCGCAACATTACAAGATAAGTTTTCAAATGAAGCCGTTTCCACTCGGGGGTTTGATGTGCACAATGTTAATGCATTAAACAGGTGATCCACATCGTGTCCTCCATCAGCAGAGGGCTTACCTTCACTCCATCCAGCACGGCTTTGATGACGCTGGTGACCGACGCCACGTTCTCTTTGTCCTCCAGGTCGATGCCGTCCAGCATCACCTGGTCCGCCCAACGGATGAGGTTGGCCAGACTCTGGTAGACGCGATTATGGCAGGAAGACAGCGCCGAACTATGGAAAGGGGGTTAGAGTAGGTTAGGTGAGAGTAAAATTGTATATTGTGTATATATTAAATGGTACAAGGTGAGTTATTACATTTAAACCGGGAACAGGACAGCAATCAGGAAGCTATATCTTGTTGGAATGACTGTTTTCAAATGTAATTTTTGGTAAATAAATGGTTGTAGTATGTGCAAAATACATTAGAAAAAACCTAAATATGAATGAGCTATGAATCATAAAGCAAGAGCTATGAATCATAAGGGCAAGTAGGAATAAAGGATTTTAAATACACAGCTCTCAACTTTGAATGTAGTGTTTGTCATATTTAATTAAATTGTACTGTGCTCAGTTTCTTGTGTATTTATATTTTGAGTAAATATTGTCTGTTTTAATTTGTTACAATAGTCTTTTTATAATAGTACTATGTTTTGCTCCTTTAAAAAAAAAAGAAAAAGATTCTTGTTTCTGTGTCTCGGTGTTTTATTTTCCCTAAAGCCAATTCCTCGTAAATAAAAGAAAAAGGACAACAGGGAGGTGTGGAAAAAAATCTACGAGACAAGCACATGTTAGAGAGGAGGTGACACAAATCACACGTATGATACACTTCCATCTATCAAGCAGCCATTAAACTGCATATATAAAGGACATTTGGGGGGAACTTCAGGTATAGGCTAGCTGGGGGGTTGGGATAAGTTCAGTGGTGTGGAAAGAAGAATGTTGAACCACCCGGGGAAGTGGGTGTTGTTCCTGCTTGCAGTGAGAGGTGCTTTCAGACCAAGGTGTGGCTCAGGCCTGCAGCAACACGCTGAGGCTGATTCAGAGCTGCAACATCCCTCCACTGTCTCTACAACGAGCGGGAAGCGACTAAGCTATGGGGGGTGGGCGGGGGGGATTTTAAGGAGAGTGGAGCAGTTGAGAGGATTGACCCAAGAAGAAGTGTGCCATGTGTAATCAGTACAATGTATCATATACTATAAGATCATCATATGGTTGTAGCTTTGCCTCTGTCCTGTGAGGACCGAATGTGTATAGAAAAGTCAACCTGTCTCAGAAAGACAGCCCTGTATTCAGTTTAATGATATTTATTTTTCAGCTGATCCAGAGTCCCCTTTACATTTTTTATTTCATTTAAGAAATATGACAATTCCCATAAATAAAGGGAAACTTCACCCTTCAATGAATCACAAACAATCATTGAGCAAACATGGAGACGTTTGTTTTTGAATGGACAGTAACACTGTAATCTGAAAAGTAACTAAGGCTGTCCGATAACTGTTGAGGAGAAAGAGTATACATTTGCATTAAATGGAATTAAATCGAGTATGAGAAATTAAGTTTAGTACTTGGCCGTGCAAATAGCGATAGTGGAATGATAACAAAGTCTGCAGCTATGAGCCCCAGTCAGTGGGACCACGGTTTGCAGACATGAGTGGGATACACTAATCTTTTGGCAAAATAAGCACTTTAATCAACTCACCACTGTGTGCCAGAGCAGCAGATAGGAGTTACACCCACTGCTGACCTACTTGTTTTCAAATATTGATTCAAATCACTGCAGCCGCTGGAACACTGTGGTGCACTGTGCATGTTTAGCCGATGGAAAAACAAACTTATTCACACGTGAGCGTAACATTCCTCTTGGTCACAAAGTGGTAACATGGTGTACAGTAGCGTGTTTGCCAAAAAAACATGAACTTCTACGGTGATTTATCGAGGTTTGACTGCGTTAGACTGAGGTCAAATCCCAAATGTAAGTTTCTCCTCAGGGCTGCAGCAGCAATCCATCCATGCTGCTAAACACAGGGCTGTGAGACACAGAATCTGTCCTCTGACCTCCATACTTTCATCTGTACTGACAGATGGGGAGACAAAGACAGAGAGTCCCAACATGTCTTGACAGTCACGAAAAAATGTCAGCAGCTAAGGTTACTAACAAAGAAAGGGTTTGCTTTACACACAGAGTAAATATATGTTAGTATATCTGCAAGGTGAAGTCTTTCTACCTCGGAGGTAACATTTCTGATAAACATACCACATACAAACTGACTAGCATAAATGAAATGCTTCAGCATCAAAGTCCAGGATGTTGTCTGTCATAACATATTATCAATGTTCACTAGCTACTCAACACACTGTAGTCTTCCTCACTCTTGTTTTCACATGTCCTGCTTGCTTACCAGCTACGTTAGGAGGTACGTCAGGAGGCAAGAATGATGAGAATGGAACCAAAAATGGTACAAGATGAGTTATTAAATCTACATACAACCGGGAATAGGACAGCAACCGGGAAGCTATAACTAGTTGGAATGATTGTTTTTAAACTTCCCGTTTGGTAAATAAATGTGTAAAGGTTGAAGTATGTCCAAAATACATAAAATAAGGAACTAAAGATACATTTATAAATATCTATCTTGTGCTATGAATCATAAGGGCAAGTAGGAATGAAGGTTTTTAAATAAACAGCTCAGCTTCCACTTTAATTATAGTGTTTGTCATATTTCAATTTAATGAAATGTACTCAGTTTCTTGTATATTTATTTATATTTTGTGTACATATTGTCTTTATTTTGTATTTGTTCAAATAGCCTTCTTTATAATCGTGCTATTTTTGGCTCCTTTTAAAAACAACAACGTATTCTTCTTTCCGCGTAAATGTAAACGTACGTGGTGATAAACAGGATTGTGACTGAATGTAGCATTTATATTTCACTTTGGACCCACCTGTGCTGGATCCGGGCCTCCACCTGCACCAGAGGCAGGATGGCCTCCAGCACCTTGCTGGCAGAGCCGGGCAGCATCTCCAGAACCTTCTTCTCCACCACCATCTTATCCACGATGGTCTTGAAGTAGCGCAGAGCACTGACCACATCCTTCTCGTGCTCCTCCAGCCGACTCACCTTCTAAAAGACGTGAACAACACAGAAAGTACCTCAGAATCGCAGGTAATACAAAAACAACTTTATGCTAAACCACCTTTCCAACAAAATGAAACGAGTCTTCAGAGGAATACTAATCCCTTAACAAAATATTTCGTAAAGATGAATCTCTTTTTTTCAGATTTTTTAACATCTGACCTGCAAATTCAGGTATTCGATTATTTGGGACTATAATTAACAGCATACACACTTTAATGGAAAATGCTATCTTACGTTTAAAAATTAAAAAAAAGGTTTTTTCTATTAAGGAGTCATAAATTCATTATCTATCTAAAACAATCTATTCTTGGAAAACTATGTATGTATCACTACATTGTTACAAGTTGTATGTGTGTTATATTTGATCAACTCCAACTCCCAGGGAACAAGAGAGTCAGTCACTGCCTTAACTCGGAGCAACATGCACAGGAATGAAGTACAATACAAATATATTTGAATTTATTTCTCACTTTGAAAGCGGCCAGACATACATTTGACCGGCACAAAAACAGTTATATCTGAGATTGATCCGTTGATTACAGCTCAAGCAAAGGGATTGCTGATTGATCAGTACATCTCTACTTTTTCATATCCAGACCCTCACAGCAGCCGGAGCTCTCTCCTGTGGTTTTAGTAGTACCACAGTTTGCCTGCAGTTAGAGGATCCATCTATCAAGTGCTGTGGCCCCGAGCCATCCTGGGGCTACAGCAGCTTCTCTCTCACAGCAGGGGCTGCTGGGGAATATAGTCATTACACAGAGAGCCTTAAGAGCCAGCGGAGCAGTTCATTCAGGAAGCGGCCCGTTCCATTCATGCCTTTATAGGTTTACACCTGCTCTAGTTTAGACACCGTGGCCAGAAGCTGTGGGAACCAGCGGGGAAACTCACGCACACACAAACAACAATGGGAGCAGAAAGCACTAAACTGGAAAACAATCGTCTCACAAGCATACGGAAAAAGGTGGGAAAGAGATGGATTTCCCACAATACACGTCTACTTCCCGGCACACACACCTTGTTGGAAGGTTTCTCGGTGCTCTTGGCTGCCGGCTCGGGCTGCAGCTGCTTGCCCTTCTTGGATGGAGTCCTCTTGATCTTGGGAGAGTGGAACTTGTCCATCAGTTTCATGGTGAAGGAGGACAGGTGGGACCGCTGCGAGTCTGTGGACCGAGGGAAAACAGAGCAAGAAGAGCGGTCAGGTTTAGTGAATCCTCAGGGGGGAATAGAAATGAGATAAAAACAAATTGCGCAAGAACAGTGAAGTGTTGATATCACTATCACGTCATGGCCCTCATGGGGAACCAAGTGACCCGCCACACACACACACACACACACACACACACACACACACACACACACACACACGTGTATTGTATTATTGTATGAGAGAGGTTCCAGGTTGAATTGAGGCGAATATTTGTAATGTTCAGAGGTTGTTGTGTTTAATATTCATGAGAATATTTGTCATTGTTCAAATGATAATAAACATTTGCATAA